TTAGGACAAATGGTCCTGCCGTCAATTTTGTTAACTTTTTCTGTTAAATAATTGCAAGGACTAAGATACTAAATAAAACTCAAGTAGGTATCCAAAACTTAATTCTCCTTTATTGTATAAAATAAGTTCACAGCATTTATGCCTAAATCTGGTATTATAGCTACTTAAGAAAAACCAAAGCTGAGCACTCACAGATGCACTTAATCAAATTCCTACAGCACATTGAAAAAGGAATCATGTTAACGTTGGTACCATTGTTGAAGATGTAAGGCATCTTCAGAAACAATTTCCTGGCTCTCTTTTTCAATTTACTTACAAGGAAGCAAATGGTGTTGCACACCGACTTGCTCGTTTTGGTCTGCATAATGTGGACAACTATTTTTGGTTTGAGGTGCCCCCTGATCTTATTCAGGACGCCCTATTATGTGATGTGTTGAGTCGGGGTCAGGCGTCTTGTCCCCCCCGTTGTAATTTTTCGTTTTATCAATAAAGTCTCCCTCGTTCCGTCGAGGTTCTCTCAAAAAAAAAAAAAAATCAGTAATTGCAAAAAGCTTGTAATTCAAGCATTTAAGAGCATTTATCTTTACATCCGATGTCCTGGGTTGAACTCCTCTCCTCCCTCAATATTGCTTTGTATAAAATAAATTTACAAAAGGAAAGTTTAATCAAATGTTTTAACAAACCATTTTGATTAGAGAAGTAAGAAGTACAACGAGTCACTAGCATACTGGTAAAAATGTCAAAAGATTGGGACAGGAAGGGAAAACAAATTCGAAGATGATTAAAAGGAAGACAAAGTGGGTATGTGTGTGGTGGCAAAGTTGCCCCACGTGATAAAGAGTGATGTGAGGAGGCACATGGTGTTGGTGCCTAATGCATGCCTTGTGACTTCAAATGAAAACCTTCCAATTCCTAATTCTTGCCCAAACCCTAGAAATTATTCTAGTTGCTCCCATTCTCCCTAACTTGACCCCTCTTGCCACTTTTATGTTTAAAGCTTCCAAGTAGAAGTTGTGGTGCGTACGAATATTTGTCATTGTTTGTAGGAATAATTGGGTTGTCACCCCAAAGGGTGACCTACATTTTTTCCATATGGAATTGGTTGGTGCAATAGTGGTTATTGATTTCTCATTTGACTAGGAGAAAAATGCCACATTGGAAGGAGTTGCTTTCGAA